ACAGTCACGTCAGGACTTTACGGTGACATTTCCCATCGTGCCAACGTCTGCCTACATTTACTGAGCAGTTTACAGGAAACTGAACTACTTCCTGTTTTCTTCACCATCCCGGTCACATGGGTTTTTTTTAGTTAAATTAAAATCCCATTTCACTTGACCAAACATCTTTATGGGCCTTCGTAAAATGAGAGCAGTGATGTCACCGTCGACTGTTGGGCCTTTATCACCACAGTGTTTCTCACTGGGTATTAATGCCTCTGTGCCAGAGCAGGTGGTTATCACTTTTCATTCCCCTCCAACGTAGGTCCAGTAGAAACACAACGTTTCCGTCCCACAGTTGAAGGTGTTTTGTCGTGTTTTATTTCTAAGACGGTTTCATGAGCGGGGATTACTGTGTCACGTTACGTCCAACAACAAGAGCACAAGTCAAATACCGTTGACAGGATTAGACGCAATCTAACGCAAACAACAAAAGCAACAGTATGTAGGCGTGTGAAAAGGCTTAACGTGTGTGAGTGGAACTCCAACAGCAGTACGAAAACCATGACATGAAAATGAAAAACGTACAGAGGAAAAAAAAAACAGTTTTTTTCTCCTCTTTATTTTGATGTTTTTGATCCAATCCCAGGCCTGACGTGTCTGCTCTCCTCTCTCCTCTCTCCTTCCTCCCCTCCAGACCTCCCAAGTTTTTCAGACCCTCACATTCCTCTAGTGGCTCGTGAGATCATGCAGCGAATGATCCGCCAGTTCGCTGCCGAATATACCTCAAAAACTACTCAGGACGATCTGCCCCTGCTCAACGGCAACATGAAGGACCAAAGCCTACCAAGAGTGGCACCTCTGGCCCCGGCGCCGTGCTCCACGCCCGGGCCCCTGCCTGCGCCAAGCTCCCCTCCGTCGTCTGCCTCCTCCTCCCCCTCTCCACCCCCGGGGCCGGGCCTGAGCCCCGCCCCCGCCGACGGTGACGCTGTCGCCGTTGCTGCCACCTCAGCACCCACCTGCATCCAAAGCAGCAATGGCACAAGCACCAGTAACGGTGGGGGAGGAGGGGGAGGAACTGCTGCTGCCTCTGCACAGAACCCCGTCCTCAGCAAGCTCCTGATGGCTGACCAGGACGGCCCGCTGGACCTGACGGTGAAAAAGAGCCAGGTTGAGAAGGAGCCCAGCCAGCAGGGTACGGTACCTCCCTCCTCCTCCTCCTCCTCCTCCTCCTCCGTCTGCACCTCAGTCCAGCCTAGTTAACACCAGTCACACTTTGATAAATTCAAAAGTGCAGCTCGATGGTTGATTCTCCTCTCGTTCGTCTTTTTGGATAAAATCATCAGATAAATGCATGAATGTAAATGTAAATGTGTGAAATGTAGCCCAGGGTTTGGAGAAACGTGGAAATGTTTCAACCTTCATCACCACAATGTGACTGGTCACTCACTCTAAAACCAGCTTTTTGGAATCTGCTTACAGTAATCCTCCTTAATTTACACAAAAAAAGATTCAGGCATTTACTCTTTATCCACTGGGTTATTTCTCTCTCTCTCGCTCTCTCTCTCTCTCACACACACACACACACACCTTTTTAATAAATTCACACTCAGATTATGTCCAAAGCTGGAATCACTACTAAGCACTTGTTTAAATAACATTCCAAAAAGATTTAATTTCAACAAACAGTGGACTCTAATAATAATTCTCAACAATCGAATGGTTTGTTTTTCTTTCATTTCTACAATTAAATTTGATTTGAAGTTTATTCATTAAAGTATTAGCAGTAATAAAGTATGTTTCGTGGACAGCGCTTCATCAGGTCACAGTAAAAACATAACAGTTTATCACTGACTCAGTCAAACTGAGTTTATTAAAAACTTGGTTGTCATTAATATCTTTATCCAAATGTTAAACCCTCCCCAAACGGGGTCAGAAGGTCAACTGCGCTTTAAGGATTAAAAGAACCAAAAACAATTCCTCCACATTTTTCTACCTGTGCTTCCACCTTAGGATCACAATTTAGTTTGGAAACTGAAAAGGTTTTAAACAAAAAAACAAAACAATAAAAAACTGGAAATCTGTGAAATTAAAACTTTTTTTTTATTATTTCCTGTGTGTTTCAAGATGGCGTCCTGGACCTCTCCACTAAGAAGAACCACAGCTCTTTTGGCCACAAGACCTTCCCCGGCTTCACCCCTGTGTCTGGGGTCAAAGGGTAAGACAACAGGCTCAGTCGGACCACAGCGGTCGTGTGTCTACGACAACTGTGGACGAGTTAAAACAGTCCTAGTGTTAGCTGTCGCTGCTGATCCTAAAAAGTCGCTTTAAGCAAAAGCAACAAAAATGTTTTGGATAAAGACAAATATTAACTCATTCAGGGACCAGGACTGGGAACCAGTACTGAATACAAAATGATCCCAGGGAAGATGGAAGATGTTTTTGGAAAATGTGCCAGCAAGAAAACCAAAAAACACACTTTGTGTTGACCCAAAAAAAAAAAAAAAAAATTAAAAATCAGGGTGACAAGCCCTCGGTCTTTTTTTTTTGCACTTCAACATGGATTTAATGCAGCTGGTTAATGTAATGTTTGGGTTTTTTTTTCACCGACCCCTGACCCCTGAGTCTTTTTTTCTGCACTTCAACGTGGATTTAATTCAGCTGGTTAATGTAATGTTTTGTTTTGTTTTTTCACCGACCCTTGGCCCCTGGTGAAGGTTCAACATCGGTGCACGTCCAACACATGTCGGAGGTTTGACTTTTCCATCTCGGTGCCGTAACTTTATTGACGGTCCCTCCACGTTGCAGCTTGGACTGATAACTTATTGATGAACAGCTGTTCCTGGCACGCAGCTCACGGCTAATAAACAATCATGGCTAATCAAAGCAGGAATAGTTTTTGACCCGTAGGTCAGGGACGGTCGGGGTCGTCGTCACCAAGTGTACGTCTCCATCGTGTGGGCCACGTTTCTAGGGTCCATTAGTCGTTAGAAGGAAACATATGATTTGACCAAACAGTCAAGGCAACAATTTTATTAGTATTTCTGTATTACGACAACCAAAGCTAGCTATTTTTTACGCTAATTTTTGTACTTCTTTTATTCAGTAAAAAAACAAAAACAATCTGGTTCAGACTAATTTATTGGAGAAAATGTGGTTCCACTTTTTTACATATTTTTATTCTAAAGACATTTTTAATTAATAAACCAAAAAATGTAATAATAAATGGACTTAATTCAAATGTGTGCTGTATTTTGAGCGGAATAGTCATAAACCCTGATGCAGTAGAACAGGAAGTGAGCGACATCCTTGAGAATTGTTCTTATTTCCTGGGTTCCTTCGGCTCATAAATTATGCTTGTGATTCTCTTCACGATGACAGCAACGACCAAAAACAGATCCAGGTAATGGCCGAGAAGCCTTTGTGCTGTCGGCGGCCATTTTAGTTTTTTTCCGACATCCTTTGACAGCCGCTGCTAAATTATTGAACGTGCAGATGATACCGCCACCGCTGAGGCGGTGTTTTCTCGGACGTTCACGAGAGGTTTCGTCGGTTCGTTTGTGGTCAGACGTCGTTACGACAACGACGTTAACGTCACGAAATAGTTCTGGTACTGTTGGGTTTTTATCGTTTGTTCTGTGTACACTGTCTGTTCCCCCTTTGGTCAAAGAACAGGCAGCACCTTCACCCGGCTCCCCCCCGCCCCCCACCCCGTGTTAGTTTCCTAACAGCCCTGAGGACCTGATGCATCAGTGTGTCTCTCTAATGATCAGGTCCTGAATTATTAACGACGTGAGGAGGTGAGGTCTATATTTTCAACCCCCACCGACTACACCTCATTTCTGACAACCTGACAAGACCACGTCGTGTCGGTGTGGACCGTGTGTGTTACTCTGAGGTGAATTCATTTCATATCCTCGTTCCTCTGTAACGTAGAGGAACTCCAGAGTACCACACGTTCAGATGCGTCTTGTTAGGAAACACGCTTCATGTTGCATTGCTCTTGCAGTGATATTTTAAGCACATTTGGAGGATAATGACTGGCTCTGTGAGGTTCGTGTTGTCGTCAAATGTTGGGATGGTTTCAGAACCAGCAGTAGGTGGCAGACGTGCTGCGGTGCTGCATCAGAAGGGTTGCGGGTTTGATTCCAGACTCGGGCACTAACGTCAGTAGGGCGGTAGTGAAATCTGTGAAGTGTTTTGAGTGATTGTCAGGGTCACATGGGAGCTGGAGCCAATCCCAGTAGTCAGTTGGGTTGGGGGGGGGGGGCAAGTTCAACCAGGTCAGTTGACCAGACCAACGCCAGTCAACCATTGACTCTCACCTTTCTTTTCTACAGTTCGTGTGCACCA